AAAAATAAAACTCACAGAAAGAAACAAATTCAAACGAAACATGAGGCAAACCCATAGTTTGAACCATGCCCAGCCCAGCCCGGCCCACACAACAAATTCATATGAATCAAAAGAAGACTTAGAATCTCTTCTCCACTTCATCCATGGCCATTCTGTTTTCTGGCAGTGGTTGCAAGGCAGTTCTCACCTTCTCCCCAACCTGTCACAAATATTTGTCATTAGAAACTCAAATCCAGAATCACAAGGGTTGAAAAAGAAAAAGGCCGAATATAGTGAAAAATTTAAGATTGATGATGCTTACTTTTGCATTATCCATCTTCTTTTTGCTAAGTTGGAGTTCCTTGATCATCTTCCTCAGTTGTCTTAAGCTCATGTCATTATTCTCCACCACAATTTGCCTCTGAGTGCAGCCTTCTACTTTTTCCTTCTCTTCTTCGTCTTCCTCTTCAGCATCCGAGTGATCCATCAGCAGTCCAATAACGGTTTGCTTTTTGAGGGGAGATTTATTCAAAGTTGGCCGAGGAAATTGGGTTCCCAGTTGAACAACTCCACTTATGTTGGAAGAGGAAGTGGGAATTTCTTCTGTTGAGGTAACTACTGAAACGTCCACTACTTCAAAATTTATGTCATTTGGGATTTTGGGCTCTGAATCATTCACATCTTTAGGAGCTTCTTCTTCCATCGGCAATTGGATCTTCACGTCGACCAAATCTTCAGAAACATTCTCGGGGAATTCCTCCATGGACTTCATTGCATCTTTAGGAGCTTCTTCTTCCATCGGCAATTGGATCTTCACGTCCACCAAATCTTCAGAAACATTCTCGGGGAATTCCTCCATGGACTTCAATGCATCATCTTCAGCTTCAGCTTCAACTGAAACTCTCTCTATTTCCTTCTTGTCACCTTCAACATCAGCATCCTCCACCAATGCTTCTTCTTCTTCTCCCTTATTGCCAACATCTTCTACAATTGTGGGTTCTGTTTCATTAACAGATTCTTCGACCTCATCGTCGTTAACTTGGGTTTTTTCTTCCACATTTTCATGGGGCAGACACAGTTCGGCAGAATTGTTCATGATTATGGCGGCTTCTCCTTCAGAATCATCTCCAGTTAAGTCTTCCACTTCTGTATTGGATTCTTCTACATTGGCCAAGTTGTGAACTTCAGTCAGGTCCACATCCTCAGTGGGCAGAGAAAGTTCGTCAGAATCGTTGACTCCCTCAGCAGAAATATCCACGGCATCATCATTGTCTTTGGGTGCTTCTTCTGGCACTTCAGTAGGCAGAGAAACTTTGCCAGAATCGTTGATTTCGTCAGCAGAAATCTCCACGGCATCATCATCTTTGGGAGCTTCTTCTAACACTTCAACTTCGGAGAAGCATTTCACATCTAATTTATCATCTTGTGCTGCCACTGTAACAAGATATAAAATTTCAGTCAACTAAATGAATCACTGCAAAGATGGAGAAATTAGTGAAGTTTATCTCACCATCTGTTTCGGAATTATCACAACTCTTTGCTACGAGGGTTTCTGCAGAATGAATGGATGAATCAGGATTCATTTCTGGTTCAGCCTCTGAAAGATTTACTTCAGATCCCATCTCATTCTTCTCTTGATCCTTATCTCCCAACTCCGAATCCTCATTTACTTTGCTGTCCGATTCATCCGTTATCTTGGACTCAATTTCCAGGTTCGTGTCCTCCTTCACAGATCCTGAACCAATTGCTATCAATCATCAAATTTCTCGGATTATACAAATCAATATCAATACAATGAAGAATAAGCAACTCAAAATGCGAACCTGTACTCTTGGGCATTTCATCGAACGACATATGAACAGCTACTGGCTCCATTTTCCCTTCGTCCGCTAAACTCATGCTCTCCATGCTCTTCTCCAACAATCTTACGGACCTTCTTGTACTATAAACCCGTTGCTCCGTAGCTCCATTATTCAGAGCCTCAGTTCTTTTACGAGTCGAAGCCGCCGCAACTCTCTTCTGGCTTTTAGGTACAGCAGGCGTTTTTTCAATCACGTTCTTTTCTTGATCCAAATCGTTGTCTTCTTTCTCAACATCAACCGTCATCTGGAAATCCACTTTCTTGCAAGCTGAAGTAGCCGCCGCCGATGTTATTCTTCGGCCAGTAGGTAAAGATGGAGTAGCCAGAGCCACGTTTAGATCCGTGTTTTCCGACTCCTCTGAACATCTTGCCGCTGCTGCACGGCGCGTCCGAGTCATAGGCTGTGAGCTCTTCGACTCATCTTTGACGGCCTTTCTTCTCGTCGAGGACCTCAATGCAGTTCGAGGATTTTCCGAGCGAGCAATCTCTTCTCTCATCGGCGATTCCGGTACTCCAGATCCTTCTCCATTCAAGAAATCATCAATTCCTTCAACCTAAATCAAGAGCGAAAAAAGAAATGCTATATTAACTTCAAAAAATCCCTAGAAAAATTCATAGTTATTCCAAGAAATCAGATTGCAATAGAATTTAACGCTACAGAATCTCAGATCCTTCAATAACCATTCAAATCAAGGGATTATACAGAACTAGTAAACAGGAAGATTCAGATTCGCAATAGAACAAAAGCTTCCAACTCTCAGATCCTACAATAGACAATCCAAATCAAATAATGAACTACAAGAAATCAATAAAAAGGAAGATGCTACTCACCAATGGAAGAGCGGCAAGAGCATCGGCCATGGCGACATTAGTGATATTGGCCGGAATCTTATTCCTCTTGCAGAATGCTTGGAGCTCTCTCCTTGACAAACTACGGAAATCCATGGCGAGAGAATTGAAAATCTGCAATGGACGAAGAAATCTCACAAAGCCAAAATGAGGCGATCCGGTGAAGTCGAGAAGTGGAGGCTCTATAAATACGACGATGGACGAAGACACTAGCCGTTGCGGAAACCCTAATGAAATGTTACCGTTAGAGCGTGAATTTGAATTTTGAAAGGAGCGGCCTTCCGGTTCGCGCCGTGGACTGAATTTACTTAAATTTCGGGATTCTTATTTTATTTCTTTACCGGCAAAAATTTACATTTTTTTAGTTCAATAAAATTACGTGGTAAGTGTACTATATTTTCTTTAAGAATTAAAATTTTTATTCATGTGTAAGAATAGGAGGTTTTTAATAATTTCTAATATATTTTATCGTGATATTAAATCGGTAACTAACAATTATAAAATTTGAGAGACATTTATAATCAATTATAAACGAGAATATCACAAAAATTTAAATACTTTTACCATAATTGTTAAATAATTACTATTCAAATTTATTTGCTAGATGTAAATGTCATTTATTTTTTATACAATGTATCCTCTTTCTCTCTTTTTCGAGAAATAATTTTAATTGGTATAAAAAAATAATATTAAAATAATAAAAAATAAGAATATTATAATTCAAATGTGTGAGATTCGGACCTATTACTTAAGCTAACTTATCCTTATTCGTTTTTGTTTCTAAAATTATGTTTGTTATTCATTATCTTTTTCATCCATCTTGAGTTACATTTGATTTTTTGACCAAATTTAAAAAATATAAACAAAATAATTGGATTACATTTGAAAAAGTATTACAAAACATAAAAACACATATATTGATGCGTAAATCCAATGAAAAAATGGTGTAGTTTAGAATAAGGTAACCAGTATTGGGTCTTGGTTGGTCGGTTCCTTCTTTCCCCTTAAGTTTAGTTTTTTTTTCGAACTCACAACCTCTTGGTTAGAGGCATATGTCAATTACCGCTGAACTATGCACACTTTGACTTGTCGAGTTTAACTTTATTTCTCCCCTAACAACATAGATTCATACAAAAATTCAAAATAGTCCGTATTTATTTTTATTTAATTGACATAGCTACTTCAATCCTTTACCTGAAAGTTCAATTATATTCTACATATCCAAAATTCTAACCGAGGGCAAATTATGTTGTTGTTGTTATTATTATTATTATTATTATTATTATTATTATTATATAATTGTTTGGAGGAAAATTGAAACATTTGACTTCTGAAAAGGTGATTTATAACTAAACTTGAACGATGTGATGTGGAATGAAATATTTATAATTTTATTTTTATTTAATCAAGTCGTTAATTTTTAGTTCATGTTCATTCATTTTTTATAAATATGTTAGTATTTTTAGGATTAGTTGGTTTTTTAAGACTACACGTAGATCAGAAATATGCTTAGACACAAACCCAAAGAAAAATAGACTTTTGTCATATCGGCATTGTAAAGAGATAGATAGTAATTTTTTAAATATATATATATATATATATATTTTTATTTTTGCACAGGGATTGATACCAAAGTTTTAAGCGTAGATGGAAATATTGAGGTTTCAATTTCATGAAAATGTCGATCGATGGATATTTTCGTAAAAATGAGATAAATTAAAAAATCGTAAAAAAATAGGGACACTTGCAAATATGGCAAAAAAATTTAGTAAAATAACCAAAATAGCAACCACATTTAGTTTTTTCAAATATAGGATTTTTTTTAAAAAAAAAACGGAAGTCCAATTCTAAAATTATAAATTCACCCTTTAATATATCTGATATATATCTGACCACTGATATATATCTTTGGTATATTACTGATATAATAATAATATATAATTGATTTACTTCTGATATAATTATGATATCTACTTCTAACATATCTTACCACTAATATACATGATAACCATTGATTTACCATGTTGATACAATACATATATATGTAATATATATTTAATATGTCTTTAATTTACAATTGATATACAAATGTTATACCACTGATATGACTATGGTATCTACTGATATAACTTCTTATATGATTAGATGATTTATCACTAATATAATACTGATATATATTTAATATGCTTCTCATTTACCACTTATATACCTCTAATACAATCATTATATTTACTAATATAACTATGATATATATATGTTGATATCATATTATTATATCCAATATTTTTTTCAGATGAAAACAACGACGTAAGATTTTTTATTTTTTATTTTTGAAATATAAAATTATTATATAAAAGGTTTATATGAACCATGCACGTCCAAAAAAACAAGTTAAAATTTTGATATACTTTACTAAATTTAAACAATTGATATCCCTTATATTTAGTATCTAATTAATATTAATATTGAATAAATAGTAGGGATATAGTAATCAACATTATTGATAATATTGGTATATTAATCAACAAATTGAAATGATAAACTAGAATTTAAACGGCTGATATACCATTAAAAAATTTAACATTTGATATATCTTGTATTTAGTATATCGTTGCAAATATATTTAGTATATCAGTTGGAAATACATTTAGTATATCATAAATTTGAAATACATCAGATGTATATATTATATGTATAATACTTACATTTGATGTATATCAGTGGTATATCTGATATTGTATATCACGGTACATCTGATACTATATATTAGGGGTACATCGAATGTATATTGGAAGTATATCAGGGTTACATCGAATGTACATTAGATATAGATTTGACGTATATCATATACAAATTTACATAAGATGTATATCAGAGATAGATTTGATGTATGATATATGCCATATATAAATTGGATGTATATCAGATATAGATATACAATCAGATATCATAAGGGTAAAATTGGAATAATCAAAATTTCGAAAATAAAAATTCAAATATTTTTCTATATTTGAAATTTTGAAAAGCTGGTGACATTTTTTAAAATACATAAAATATTTTTGCTACCCATTATAATTACCCAAAAAAATATTTAAATTAAAAAATAAACATTTTCTCTATTTCTAAATAAGTTAAAAACAATTAATATTAATATTATGTATATAGTAGTGACATTTGGTTGATGTTTTTCATATTTTGTCTATACTTTTTGTAATAGAGAAATTGCACTGTGTAGCAAAAATCTTTTATGTATAAAATATGTCACTTGTTTTTTAAAATTTTTAAATATAGCACGAATTTTCACTTATATCAATAGTATTATCAGATACTCGTATCAGTAGTAAATTAGATGTATATCACATACATATTGCATAGACACTCATATCAGGAATATATTAGATATATATCACATACATATTGCAAGTATATTAGATACTCATATCAGGAATATATCACACACATATATTAGTAGTAAGATATATTACATATATATTATAGATGTATATCATTTGGATAAAATTGTAATTTTAAAATTGGACCTCCGTTTTTCTTTTTTGAAAAGTACTATATTTGAAAAAACTTAAATGTTGCTAATTTGCTAATTTTACTAAATATTTTTATCATATTTGTCTATATTTCTTTGTAATAGGATAAAAATATTGATTTACTCCTCATGTCAATACCGAAACCATAAATAAATAAAAATATCGATAGAAATTTTGGCAGGTTGACAAATATTTAATACGATATTGATTTGTCCTTTACCACGGTTAGGTTTGGTATGGGGAGGTCATATTTGACTTTGCATTGTACAACAACCGAACCACGACATATATTGCACGGGGGCTTTTGTGTCATTAAACCCACAGGGCGCAGAGTTTTTCCCTTTTTTTAAATCTCTAGCCACCATCTGTCTCTAAATTAAAAATTATAATCATTCTCCACCTTCTGGCGCCGGCGAGTATGGATTCCGAGCATCTGAATTCCAAAGGTATGAATATTATTCATCAGTTCTCTCTTAATCTTTTTTCAAATTCATTCATCATTTTTGTTACCGATCTTCGTTTGCTTCGATTTCAATCAAGGCATGGCGATCATCGTGCTTATGGGCGTCTGTGGCTCCGGAAAGTCGTAAGTCCGTTCTTCTTCTCTCTTTAATAATCTACGCCTCGTTGATTCTTCTGCGACCTAGAATTGAATTGGATGATTAAAGTTTGAGTAGCGGAGAAAGTAATATGTTAATCAGATCGATTGAGTTAATTAGTAGATTCGATTTTGAATTTGAAGATCATTTCTGGAATTTGCATTTTTAGTGTGATTCTGTTTTACTTTTCTGTAAGCGAAGGGGAAATTTCCGAAACTGTGATGGATGAGTGAGTTGTGTGTGGTGCAGTACCATTGGAGAGATGCTGGCGAAGGCGATGAACTTGAACTTTCTTGATGCCGATGATTTCCACCCCAATTCTAACAAGGGTAGATAAATCACCAACTCTGTTTTTTTGCTTGTTTACTTCAATATAATTTTGATCATTTTGCCAAAATCACTCCCATGATTGGCATTGGTGTACAAGTTATATGAAAAAAGATCTAAATCAGCTATATTTTCTTCAACTTGAAAAATACTCGAGCAATTTAAATGGCTTTCAAAGTACTTTTTTTTAGAGTGCGTTTATAACTCGAGAATACCATTCTCAAAAGCATTTCAAAATCACTCTACGATCTTCGATCAGAACTTACACTAACACTTTAAAATTATGGGCAGAGAAAATGTCGAAAGGAATCCCTCTTTCGAACGAAGATCGACTGCCATGGCTCGAGAAGGTTCGAGACGCCTTGAAAGAGAGCATAGCTTGTAAGAAAAGTGTGGTTTTGGGGTGTTCAGCTCTTCAAAAACAGTACAGAGAGATTTTGAGATCAGCTGATCCAAATTATGAAATAGGAAGCTGTGTGGTGAAGTTTGTTCTTTTGGATGCTCCACCTGAAGTGATTGCTTACAGATTAGAGAGAAGAGCCAAAGAAGGGAACCATTTCATGTCTTCTACTCTTCTGGAATCTCAATTGGATTTGTTAGAGATTGATGATTCTGAAGGTATTTTAAAGGTTGATGCTACTCTAACTCCTCAAGTTATTGTGACTAATATTCTTAAGGTTGTTTTTGGTTCTCTTTGGTTTTGACCAACAAATGAGAGATCATAGTTGATTTTCTTGTATAATCCAATTGTATTCTTGGGTTTGGGCAATTTTTGTGTGTGATTCTCTGGTATCTTTTTTGAAAAATAAAGATGTTGTTTAAAAATATATTTTTTCTTTTAACGTGTGTTTATGTACGAACTCGCAAGTGTATCAATTTTTATTCTAAACATTTAATTGGATCAAATTGAACTCGACATTTAGAAAAGTGGTGCACATTTTACCTTCTATTAAATTTTCGCTAATTGACCCACTAATTTTGACAAGAAGTAAGGTCAAACTCTTCAAATGTCTTCTAATTTCAACGGAAATTAAGGTTTGCACAATGTTAAGTCTGGTCAATACATTGATCAATGAATAACTTTTTTCAAAACAAACCTAGCTCTATCAATATGAGCTTATGTAAGTAAAGTTCAATCCTTCATACTCATATTTGTGTTACTCAAAACATTAAAAAAGAAAAAAAAACCTAGCTCTAATATCTAGGCTGGGACTTGGTATATCCTTTATTTTTTCTAGCAGTTTTAATTAAAACAATAATAAATTTAAATCTAGTTTTTTACTGTTATTTTAAAAATAAATATTTTTATTGTAATAATTTATTTAATATTAACGACTAATAAGTAATTAGAATAAAATTACATCATCTAAAATACGATTAATATAATTTTTATTACAATCCTCATTAACATAAAATGTTATTTGTTTAAAAAAAAACATAAAATATTTTTAAGTCTAAGGAGGTAGGTTTGATCTTGTGATGTAAGAAGCCGGCGTTTGGAGCGAGGAATCTATAGTCTTTAGCCTAGATTTTGGTTGTCTATTTTCTTTTTCGAAATATTTTTTTAACCATTCAACCCTCATTATTGTATTTTGTTTTGAATTTACTATTTTGTAATTTATCTATTCTGTAATCCCAATTTGCTTTTTTTTTTTGTTTGGTCTTTTATAATTGACTACACGCATTGGAAATTTAAACTCAATTAAATAGCTTACAATAAATTGGAACGAAATTTCGTATTATGTATAACACAATATTTAATTATAAAATATTTTGATTTGACTAATTTAAAATAAAATAAATTCTCTCAATTATTTTAAAATGACTAAATTAAAAATAAAATACCATATATTATGTATTTATGCTGCTTTAATATGATAAAAAAAATGTCCATTTATCCATGATTCCGACTCCTCCCCAGTCCCTTCAAACACCAAAATTTCCTTCCTTGAATGTATTCGGTTGAAGTAAACTGGCCAAGCTGTGTTCGTGAAGCCTTAAGCTAGCAGCCGCTACCCCATTTTTGTTCGTGAAATCCAGCACCCCCGAGCTCTCTCCCTCTCGATTTGCCCCCTCCCTCACGCCGGCGAGCAGCAGCGGTAAGTGAGATTCCCTGCATGAACAGCATCCACGCGACCTCTCCTTCTCCGGCGAACTCAGCACGAGCAACGGTCCTCTAGAACCCGAACGGCGGCTCCTCGAACTTCTTCGCCACTGATCCAGAAAGAATCCAAGTGTTGATGAGCCTAGCTTTGTGCCTTCGGTGACGCTCGGTAAGGTTTAGTTGGTAATCGGCTGGCCTGAATGCGTTATTAGTGTTCTGAATTGGATTTTAATGCTGAAACCTCGATGTTGTTTTAGGAACCGATTGGTGGAGGTTAGGAGCGTACTAGGACCTTTTTTGAGTAGTTCTTACTGGGGGATGTTTGTTGTATGATCTTGTGTTAATTGTGCTGCTTGTTTGATTGTTCATGCGTGTGTACTTATTATTAAATTTGTGTTTCTGATTATGGATATGTTAATTGTTGCTGTGTTCTGTTTGGGCTGTAATTATAGATATGTTCATTGTTGCAATTATAGAAGAATGTTTATTATTGTGATGTGGAAGCATACTGAAATGTTGTGAGATCATTATTACATTTTGGTTGGTTATGTTATAAAGAATGTTTGCATTGTTGTGGTTTGGTGTTGGAAGGCAGGCTTAATGGGCCTCTTCTTAATAAATATTTTATATAAGAAAAGAAAGAAGAGAAGGAGAAGGAAGAGTCTAAGCCTCTTTTTAATGAATATTTTACATAAGAAAAGAAAGAAGAGAAGTAGAAGGAAGAGTCACAAAAAGAAGAAGAGGATAGGGGAGAGATGAAGAGTTAAAGGAAGAAGAAGAAAAAGAGGCCAACCAAAATGTGTTATGTATTACTATGTTATATTCATGTTGTGAATAAGCATCGGTGGCGTGAAGGAAATTCGAGGAGAAGGACTAATTGATATATCACTAATAGCTAACTTGATCTGGATTTGTTCTTTTGTTTGGCTAGTATAGATTCTTGTTATGAGTTGAATTCTATTTTGATTTCTTTTATAAATTGGTTAGAGTTTCCTTATTATTTCATTAGTTATATTGTTTTTGAGAGTTGGGACTTATGATTAATTTGATGATTCTTTTACGCTGATAGTGGTGTCTTTACACTGGACTTGTGACAAGGTAATTGTAGGAATTTAGTAACCTTCCTATTTGGAAGGTAGGAAATTTGGAGGGGTTGCACCATTATTTCTTAAACTCAAAATAGATGGCTCTGACTTTATTTCCACTTCCTTGTTTAAAGTTACTGTTGAGCTCAACAATCAAATAATTGTGTGCAAACTCCTTGTTTAAAATTACAGCTGAGTTCAACAACCAAATAATTGTGTGCAAATTGAGTTGAAGGTTGATAATGTCTGCTAAAGATAAGAGATCGCGTGATATATTGGGCTCAAAATTTGAACAATGTGTGGGCAAAGAAGGCATTGAATGGATAATGAATCTTCCAGACGTGCCCATGAAGCTCCCACCGCACTTGGAATTGCATAGGACCAGAGTCTGAATGCAAAGCCGATGCTCCCATTCATGTACTCATCTTTTCCCTCTCCCATATTTTGTTTGTTTTATCATCTCTTCTTTCTTCAAATTCTAAGAATGTTGTTCCACTCAAGGAAATATAAATTTTGTACTTTTTGTTGCAGAAGAAAAGTTTGCTCAATTTTTTTGTTCTTTCAGTTGGGAGATATTTTTTAACACATCTACTATAGAGAAGTATATTTATATATATATATATATATATATATATATATATATATATATATTCTTTTTTTAACACATTTACTATAGTTAATTACATAGTAGGTTGAATGCAAGAGTAAGTATTGTCTTTTCCCATGTAATTTATTGGATTTTTATTTATAGAACTTATAGTTTCTCATGGTCCTTGTGAAAATATGTTGGCTTTTGTAGACAGATACCATACAGTATTCTGGAGCATATGCTTCGATGGGTGTTGATAACAGTTTACAATTGGATTATTTTCGCAACAACTTTAAAATTGAAGTGATTGATCTAGGAGAGGATGACATTGAGTTTGACATGATTGGTATTGACCCGGCACTCGCTAATGCGTTTCGAAGAACCCTTATAGCTGAGGTAGGTAATCGAGCACAATGAAACAAAACTAAGTTATTTATTATTTTTAGTGAGAATTTGTTGAGTTTTGGTATTTACTTCCTTGTCACCAGTTCTCGTGGGCTATTATGCGATCAATATATTAAAACGCTCATAAGGCTTAGCCTGAGGCTTTGCCTTAAGGCATAGTCTAATAGCTGACACTTTCTTTGCTTCATTTGAAGCTCATGCCTTGTATGGAAGAAACATATGCTTCTATGAGAATGTATGAAAGTTGTGCCTTAAGTAATGGCTTGAAGAATAACGACAGTTTATTGTCTTTTCTTCAAAATATTAAAGATTGCTCATGTGTTCAAAGCTAATAAAATAGGAAATTTGGTGGTAAGGGCTTGGGATGTTTGGAGTTCAACTTGTTAGACAAGATGCTGGGTGCAAGCCTACATACCCTGGTTATGGAAAAGGAAATTGGGGTTGTAATTGTTTAGCCTATTATTCCTTTTCTGATGTAGCTTAAAGAAACACTATGGATAGAGGTTAAGAATGAGGCAATCTTGTTAACTTTTTTCCCCCTCAATATATTTCAATTTAAAATAAGGCTCATGTCTTGCCTCTTCTAGGGAAAAAACAATGGGAATATTTTGAGTCTTTTAGAGCATTTTAGAGCATTCCATGTGATTAGGGATGTTAAATAATGAATGGGATATATGTTATTTTTTTGTTTGCAGTTTCTTGTATCTGGTTTCTTTCCATGTTGAATATTACATAGTTCACGTTGCTGTTATGTTGATTTAGATTTGATTTGTAATTTGAGGTAGGTTCCCACTATGGCTATTGAAAAAGTTCTTGTTGCTAACAATACGTCAATAATCCAAGATGAAGTGCTTGCCCATAGGTTAGGCCTCGTTCCGATTCATGTTGATCCAAGGCTTTTTGAGTACTCAGGTATTTCTGTGTATATCTATGTAAATTTAATGTGCTTATCTATACTGATACTGTGTATATTCAAAATTAGATGAAGACACACCAAATGAGAAGAATACCATTGTTTTTAGACTCCATGCTCGCTGTGAACGTGGAAAACCTCGTCTTACAGGTATTTGCCTTTTTCTTTCAGGGTTCAATGCTGTATACATAAATTTTCTCAATTTTAAACTTTCAACCACTACTAATGATGAATGTATAATTGGTGATTCAGTGACATCAAAAGCATTGACGTGGTTACCTAATGGTAGTGAATTTCCTTTGGTATCGGACAAATCAGTTCCAAACTCAAAACCCAAAACCTATACTTCTTTTAGTTGCAGCCAAGATGCGCTACCAGAATTTTCCAAAAATCCAATTGGTCCGAAAGACAGTGATATTATAATTGCTAGACTTTGCCCGGGTCAGGTAATCAAACTCTAAACTTTATCTATTATCTGTTGAAATATAGGGAAGAAGGGGTGTGCATAGGTAGATGACTGAAGCTGATGAGTTATGGTTAGAATAACATGTATTGAATTTAAAATGACTCATGTGCTTATAATTTTGTTCGCAAATGGGGATGTATTTGAGTTCATTTGAAAAAGAAAATCATTGTATATAAATATGAATTTGGCATGTATAATCTATGTGTATCACTTCATGTATGTGGTGATTGTGCTGCAGGCTAATTATTTATACTTCTGCTAGTAATTTTACTTCCAATTGACACGCATTTTGGTAGTTCCAATATTATAGATTTCTTTGTACTTATTAATAAGAAGATGTAACAAAAGAGATGAGATATCAACCCATTATTACCAAAGTTAGAATGTAAAGATGAAAACAATCGAACTTGATCCTAAAATTAGTCAAGAGTAGAGTCACTTGCTTGAAAAGTTCTTTTGTTTCTTTCATACCAAAGTCTCCACCAAAGTTCCACCGTTGAATTATACCACAAGATTTCTTTGTACTTGATGAAATTCTAAGTTTCGTATTTTAAAAAAGATTATTTAAGTTTAAAGTACTCTTGAAGAAAAGGGTTATTTGCAATGCTACAATATTGGGTATGTTTCAGTGCTTAATGGCTTAATAGAGTTGCTCAGTAGTTGACAGGTGTAAATTTCTTAATTCTTGCTTCAAACATTTATAGGAAATTGAACTTGAAGCTCATGCTGTTAAAGGTATGGGTAAAACACACGCTAAGTGGTCCCCAGTGGCCACTGCTTGGTATAGGATGCTTCCAGAGGTGAGAAAACATGTTACTGAATTACTCAAAAATCCATAGATATTTTGAAGCCTAATGAAACTTGTGGTACTAGGTTGTACTTTTGGAGGAGATAGAGGATGAGTTGGCTGAAGAACTCAAAAGTAAATGTCCTGTTGATGTATTTGACATTGAAGACATTGCTAATGGTTAGTTTGCTTCTTATATTTGCTATTAAGTATCTTCGTACTTGGAACACTATGGTGGTAAAGATTCAGAGATGGGATGGATTCCCTAAGAATAAAGTTCTTGTCATGTATATAACTAATTTGACTGGATTACGGGTTCTGTTATATCCTTGATGGAGTTTTAGCCTTGTAACGTTACAATATTTTTGAAAGTCTATTTTATTTATTTATTTATTTTTACAAGAAACAACTTTTCATTGATATAGGAAAAGGAGAAAATTTCAAGGCTACAAACTCTCAAAGAGCGAAATAAAAAGAGAAAAAAGAAATGAAACAAACCAAAGAGAGTGAAGTTTTTTCCCTTTCCCCCGTATTCTATATCTCCTGCACTCCTGATGAATAAATGGAGAATTATTTGGTTCTTTTTTATCTTGAGAATATGGATTCCAAGCGGTCGCATGATGTTGGTCTTTTCTTGCAGTTCAAATTGCATCCATTTTTCTCTACACTTCATTATTGACCAATTCTATTTTGTAGGTAAGAAAAGGGCAACTGTAACACGCCCACGATCTTGCACATTATGTAGAGAATGCATAAGAGGAGAAGCATGGGAGAAACGTGTCTCATTGCGTCGTGTGAAGAATCATTTCATTTGTAAGTGATGATTTCTTTTTGAGCATAACTTAGAGGGTAGCTAGAAAGGATAAATCTTGGTGCTGATGGTCGGCACATTTTTGTTCAATGTTGGACAGCCACCATTTTTCTTCAATGTTGATTGTCGGACTATTGGTACCACGCTAATGCAATTCCCTCTAAACTTATGACAGCCACCATGAGTTTCTCTCAATTCTGTCAATTTATGGATATCAAAGTACCTTTCTGCCCGGAATAACCATGAATCTGGGTCCGTTCCTGTGAATATCGGCCGGCAGCTCTACCTTTTTAAACTTACTCTGATCATACCCTGGACTGTTATCTTTCGCCAGCCCACTTTCCCGACCTTGCGGGTTCGTTATTTCTTCCGCCGGATTCTTTTCGCTTAAGCGTTGATCATTCTCTCTCTCCAAAGGACTGGATTTGCCCTCCGCTTCTTGATTTTCCAGATACGAGTAGTGCTACCGCTTGCTGTGTACTTTCAATCTGTGAGCTAATCAGCGCCAAAGTTTTTTCGATCACCGGCAACTTATGAAGCTCTTCACGGATGTTTCCTAACTTCTTCTCCTCACAGCTTTCTTCTATCCTTTTCTATGCCATCGTTCCAAACTTTCCGTCCCAAGTTGAACTTGCTCTGATACCATGGTATCACCCTTACTATATTGATATTAAATAGCAAAAGAGGAACCTTTCCTTGATACAGAGTTGATATTAAATAGCGAAAGAGGAACTCACGCGCCGTACGTTGAACAACGGACCCGGGCGACACCCCACTATTCGCGCCCCTCCGCCGAGCCGAGGCAGGGCGGGGGC